CGCCTTGCGCAGCTGCGCGCCCGCCCCCGCGGCCCCGTCCGGCGGAGCCAGCGCCATCTGGAAGCCGCGGAGACGGGCGCTGCTCGCGCTTCCTTGCGCGGAGCGTGGGGCGGCGGGGCCTGGGAACCCCGCGGAGGTGGCCTCGTCCCCGAGCGTTCCTGCGGCCGGGGTGTGTGGAGCCCTTCGCAGGAAGCGGCCCATGGGCAAGGGCCCTTCACGCAGATGCGCTTCAAAAACCAAATAGCTCGATGACGACGATTTTTTTTTCTGAACTAGATGAGTTGATTTCACCTTTCTTTTCTTTTTTCTTTTTTTTTTCCACTCGTTCCTCAAAGAACCGGAAAAACATCTACCCCGAAATCCCAACAGGCTGCAGAAAGGCTATATTTCGTTATTTTGTCTTTGTATTTTTTTTGTTTATTTTTTGTGTTTTTTTTTTTTTGGCATCCCTTCACTGCCCTTTCAAATGTCAGCAAGGGCGAGGACGGGGGTGGGAACCTCCTGGAAGAATAACTAATAGAGAAACGGCCAAATAGATAAATATTCAGTGCTGAGGGGGAGCGAGAGGGGGACAGACAAAGGAAAAGGGAACAGAGAGGAGAAGGAAGATGGGATGAATAAGATGGAGGCTGGAAGAGGTCAGCTTTGCAATTAGCAGTTCTGCTTACATTTCAAGAGACAGCCCAGGAAGTGTCAAGACCTCAATCCTGCTTCCATGTAACTATCAATTTTTCCTCTATTTGTCGGAGCTTCTGTAATCTGGGAGGTAGGGAGCCCCCAGGGATGGCTGGAAGGGGCAAAGACTGAAGATAAAGTGCTGGGCAAGACTACGGGGCCTGCAATAACCAGGCTCCCCCCCGACTCCCTGCCTCCCGCCTGCTGCCTGCAGGAAATCCGAGTGGGAATAAAGGCGGCCGGGGCTCAGCTCTGGGTATTTATCTACCTGCTAATTGTCTAAACTCCTGAGAGTGAGTTATAATTTGGACATGAAATTTAATTTGCGTCGGCTGGAGTAATTTATGATATTTTGAATTGATGTTCATACATCAATATCAATCGGAGCAGATTTTTACCACTTAGTAAGATCATCACACATTTAAAACCTGCACAAAATAAAATCGATGGTTGATGCATTTAGAGCGGATTGCCTGGCCGGCAGCGCCCGCAGAGCGGCCCGCGCGGAGCGCAGCGCGGAGCGGCCCCCGCGGGGGGCGGAGCCGGGAGCGGGGGGGGAGGCG